CCGAAGTGTGAAGCAGAATCGCTCATGATTGCTGTTAGAATTGCAGTTGATTTACTTGATGAGATTATGCCCTTCCATAGCCTCTTCCACAGCCATCTTGTGTGTAATTCATATTGTTCTTCACCGAGTATTTTCACATTGTTCATATTGTTCTTCACCGAGTAACTTTTCCAATTTATTTAATTCCGAGTAGAAATGTCTGGAAAAATTAATGTCTTCGATGCACTTTATAATCTTCGGAATTCTGCTAGATTTCACCCCCACAATGCATGAAATCGCAATTCAGGGGCCCTAGATTTCAAAATTTTCTGGACCCTCTTAGACGGTCTCACGCCTCGCCCCCCGCAAAATTGGTCATAGCTGTACGATTATAGCTACAAAGAGTTGAAGTTATTGTTTAAAGTAAAATATAGCTGAAGTTAATAAATTAAAGTTTTACAAAATCTCTCTTCAGACTCGCACGTTCGCCAAACCTCGACGGCTCATATTTTTCGTTCTGCCTTTTTTCCTGTTTTGCCCCCCCCCCCTGAAAATTCCTTAAAAAAGGCACTGACACCTTGACGATCGTATACTATCCTGGGAGGAGGACAAGGAAAATGGGCCCCCTTTCGCAATTTTGCCCCACCACGGTAGAATCATTAAAAAATGCACTGGTCGACACTCACCGTAAATAACGGGCTAATTTTTCTTTAGTTGCCATTTTCGCGTTCAAGAGCAAAAGTATAAATTTTCGGAGAATATTTTAGCTGTTTGTATACTAGGTAAGGTGGTCGTACACCCAAAGTCAAGGTCTCGGACCATTTTTTTAATTATGCATAAATTGAATCATAAATCATGTTTGAATGATGTGGCGAAAAAATTTTTGTGATAGAATGAAAAGAAATATAAAAAAATTACGTTTTTTGAAGCCTAGGTATGGTTTTTCGCCTTAGCAACGCCCTTAGCAACGGAAAAATATATACAACAAACTGTTTTATTTTCCTTTTCCTTTCTACCTGTCCCTCCCCTGGACAGTATGTTTTTGTCTATTGAGTAATAAAGCCGCTGACTATAAAGTACTGCTGCTTTACACACGTTTTCAAAACGTTTTCATCGGGATATTTTGAAAAGTGAATTTACAGAAATTGCTTATTCTTTGCTGTTTTATATTGGATTTGTCGATCGATTTACTGTTATAAGTATGCCACGATCTGCTTCAAAATCTCGTAAACGAAAATATCAAGGTAATCAGTGGTCACAGGGTAAAAAGACCAAGTGTGGCGATAGTGATTTAACCAGCACAGACCAAGGTTCGACTTCAACAAGTCATGCTAGTGCTTCGGCAAGGAAGTTGAGTAACCGTCTAAAACCTACAGCTAAAGCTAATATAAAGGTAGATGGATATCGTATCTTTAGCCTTGAAATACTTTCTAACGTGTTGAAACAAGTTGCTTGTCAAAACTGTAACGAAAGTTGTTTGTATTTGGAAGAAGATAATAAAAGAAGGCAAGGGTGCTCATCATATCTTAGTATTGTCTGCTCTAGTTGTGATTGGAAGCACTGTTTCTATACTTCAAAAAAACTAAATAAAGGTTTTGAAGTTA